CCACAGAGCAAGTCTTAGTAAATTTAAGAAGATCAAAATCATATCAAGTGTCATTTCTGACTATAAGGGTATGAATTCGGAAATCAATAACAAAATGAATTTTGGAAAATTAAAAAATATGTGGTGCCGCAGTCTGGCTGCAGCAAACTAACCGGGGAGGTGACGAGCAACTTGTGTAGATTGATACAGCAGGAGTGGGAGCCATTTATTGTAGGACAACAGAGGTATTTATACATTCCACACAGCTTATCTTAATTAACAAAAACTAAATATAGCAGTCAACCAATCAGGAATCTCCACACTTAATGGCTTGCTGGCATTACTTCACAAACCACTCCCTCTGCAAAATGCCAGGCACCATCCTGACTTGTTTACAGACTCTAACAATGTGGAAGCTAAACAACATGGTCCTGAACAACTAATTGGTCAAAGAAGAAATAAAAGTATATTCTGAGAGAAAATGACAATGGAAAGAACAAAATACCTAAACTTTATCGGATGCAGCAAAAGCTATTGTAAGTGGGAAGTTTATAGCAATAAATGCCTACATTAAAGAATAAAGTTTCCAAATAAATAGGCAAACACTGTGCCTTGAGGAACTAGAAAAAAAAAAAGCACAAACTAAACACAAAGTTAGCAGAGGGATGGAAATACAAACATCAGAACAGAAATAAATCAAATAGAGAACAGAAACTCTAAAAAAATCAATAAAAGTAAGAGTGGTTTTTTTAAAAAATAAGTAAAATCAATAAACCTTTAGCTACACTAAGAAAAAAGAGAGAAGACTTTATATAAAATCAGAAATGCAACAGAGACATTACAACAGACACCTCAAAAATAAATATGATTTTAAAGGATTATTATGAATAATTATGTGAATAAATTTGGTAACCTAAATCAAATAGATAAATTCCTAGTAAGATAGAACCTACCAAAATTGAATCGGAAAAAAATAAAAATCCTGAATAGGTCATAACAAAAAAATGACTAGAAATTAAATAATAATTTAATTTAATTATTAACAATTATTAAAATGAGGGTTGGGGTTGTAGCTCAGTGGTAGAGCACTTGCCTCCCACTGTGGGGCATTGGGTTCGATTCTCAGCACCACATAAAAAATAAGTAAATAAAATAAAGGCATTGTGTCCATCTACAACTAAAGATTTTTTTAAATGGTTAAAATGAAATAATAATTAAAAACCTCCCACCAAAAAAAGCTTACAGCCAAATGGCTTTATAGCTGAATTCTACTGAATTTTCAAAGAATTAATATCTATACTTTTTTAACTCTTCCAAAAATTAGAGCCAGAGGGAACACCTTACTTCCTAACACATTTAACAAGACCATCATCACCACAATAAATAAGTCAAGGACATCATAGAAAAAGAAAACTACAGGCCAATATCTTAGATGAACATCAATGCAAACAACCTCAATAAAATATTAGCAAATTAAATTTAACAGTATATCAAAAAGATTATATCATGATGTAGTGGGATTCATCCCTTATGTACAAGACTGTTTTAACATATGCAGATTTGTCCATATGATTCATTACATGAACAGACATAAAACAAAAACCACATGATTATTTCAATTGACTCAAAAAAAGCATTTGGCAAAATTCAATACCCTTTCTTGATATTCTCAAGAGTTTAAGTATAGAAGGAATGATCCTCATTATAATAAAGGTCATTTATGAAAACCCCACAGGAAGGAAATTGAAAATTTTTCTTCTAAGACCTTGTATAAGGCAAGGATGCATACTCCTACCACTTCTATTCAATATAGCCCTGGAACTACTATCAAGAGAAATTGGAAGAGGAAAATAAGTAAGAAGTATTCAAATCAACAAGGAAGAAGTAAAATTATCTTGATTTGCAGATGACACAGTCATCAACACAGAAAACCCTAAAGACTCAACCTAAAAACCTGTTAGGTACAATAAATTCAAGAAAGTTGCAGGAGATAAAATTAACATACAAAAATCTATAATATTTCTGTACACAAATAATGACCTACAAAATAGAAATAAAATGATTCTATATGATAGTATAAAAAATCAAGAATATGAAAAACCTATATAAACTGAAGTTTATAAAATATTGATGAAATAAATTGAAGAGGACATAGATAAATGGAAAGATATTCCATGCTCACATATTAGAAGTACTGTTAAAATATCCATTCTACACAAGGAAACATACAGATACATCTTAATTTTTATCAAACTCCACTGACATCTTTCACAGAAATAAAAAAAGTAATTCTAAAATTTGTGTAAAACTACAAATATTCCAAGTAGCCAAAACAATTGTGAGAAAGGAAAACAAAGTTGGAGGCATACCATTTCTTGACTTATATTGTCTTACAAAGCTGTAGTAATCAAAACAGTATTGCACTATCATAAAAACAGACTCAGACCTGTGGCACAGGACAGAAAGCCCAGAAATACATGCAAAAAACCATTGTCGACTAATTCCTGACAAGGACACCAAGAGGACATAATGGGGAAAGGAGAGTCTCTTTAATAAATAGTTCTTGGGAAACTGTATTCCTACATCAAAAGAATGAAATTTTCTTATATATAAAAATCAATTTAAAATGCATAAAATATGTAAACATTAAGACCTAAAAACATAAAACTCCTAGGAATCTCCTTAATATTGGCCTTGACAATGTTTTCTTGGGTAGCACGCCAAAAGCTCAGGTCACAAAAGTAAAAATAAATAAATGGGATTATATCAAACCAAAAAGTTTCTGCATAGCAAGGGAAATAATTACCAAAATGAAAAAGTAACAAACAGATTGGGAGAAAATGTATTTGCAAACCATGTATCTGAAAAGAGGTTAGTATTCAAATTTATAAAGAACTGATTCAATTCAGCAGCAGCAACAACAACAACAACAAAAACATATTCTGATTTAAAAACTTGGCAAAAGACCCAAATAGATATTGCTCCAAATAAGTCACAGACATGGCCAACAAACATATGATTAAAGTACTCAACATCACTAATCATCAGGGAAATGCAAATCAAGACCTCACATCTGACAAGATAGCTATTGTCAAAAAGACAGATGCATTGGTTCAGAGGGTGTGGAGAAGTCAGTCTTTGTCTACTGTGGCTGGGCATGTAGATTGGAATAGCCATTACAGAAAACAGTGTGGAGTTTCCAAAGAAATTAAAAATAGAATTTCCATATGACCCAACAATCCCTCTTCTGGGCATATATTCAGAGGATATGAAATCATTATAATTTAGTCTGAAACAAGAGGTCTTGCCATTTGCCACAACATGATGGACTTAGAGCACAGGGTGCTAAGTGAGATAAAAAAGAGCACAGAAGGAAAACACTGCATGATTGCATGATTGCATGTGTGTATTTCT